AGGTAAAATTCACTTTAATAAAATATTTTAGACCAGTGCACCACAGTATTATTATGTGACCCTCACTCCCATTTCAGCAGCTCACTAGCCACATGGCTAGTGGCAACAGTATTGGACAGCACAGATCTAAGAAATTAAAGAAATTCGGAAGTTTGAAAATGCAGGTTATTTTTTTTTTTGCCTGAGAACTAAATAACTTCAAAAGAGAAGGATTTTTCCATGAAGCGTTTTTACAGGCTGGCTTCCTCAAGTGTAGCCTGGTGCGTGTCGTCGTGGTCAGTACAGGGTGCCCAGGCACAGCCGTGCGTACAGCATGGCCGCTTAAAGGGAACGGCTGTTCTCACTCCCTTTCAGCAGTGAGCACACGTCGCCGTCACCGGGCGGCCCAGGCAGGCCTCCCTCCTGAAGCACCTGGAGGCAGGCTAACAGAGCGTGCAGTGGGCCTTTCAGCAGAACAGAGACAAACTAATGAAGCATCATTTTTCCCCTTGCATCTTCAAAACAACCTGCTGTATGTGTTTTCACCGCCCCAGGGAACCACCTGCACCGGTATTCCAAGGTCCTGGAGGCCCGTTTGGGAGGCCCGGAGCCTCGGGCGCTGCCAGCCTGTCCGCACCTATCGTGGGCCAAGCCACAGCCTTTAAACGAGACGGCTCCCAGGTCGGTGTCATCCTGTGCTTTTCCACTCCTTCTGCAGGGTTTATGATTCATTACTTTTTTTTTCATATAAAAGAGAATGGAATTTTCCTGACATTATTATCAACTCTTCCAGCTTGTCATTTTGTGGTGGTTATTTAAATTAGTGAGCCCCCATATTGACCTTTAGAATGCTGCTCTGTGGTGGTGTTCTGCATAATTAGCATTTCGTTAGGTTTGGTCGATTCTTGCTTTAAAAAGCTGTGATCCAACAGTGATGTCACTTGAACAGACGCTCTGACTCCTTAGGTTTGGGGTTTGGGAGTTGAGTGCTCCCTGTTTGCGGTGTTGGTTCTGAAACACAGGCCCTTTCTTTGTCATGCCCAAGGGGCTGGGACTGCGCAGAGTAGACCTGGTTCTCGGGCGTCGCCTGGCCTGGCCGGGATGTGCATCTGTGCCCTGTCCCCGTGCTAAGCGCTGTGCCTGGTAGAGTGACCTCCCACCACGACAGGGCCTGTGCATCTGTATGTGGTGCCCACACGTTGTTGATCTGCCTGCTTCTCTCTCTTACTATCTGACTCGATCTCCTAATGTGTGTCATTTCCTTTCGGAAGTCAAAACTTGAGTTACCGTGGACAGTATCCTGCTCACAGGAGAATGGGGGCTTTTCCTGATGGGGAGATCCTGGCAGCGTGAAGCAGGGGTCTTGTCTCGGGGACAGCTATGGGGCTGTCCCCCACTTCCTCTCCTTTCTGATGCTGTGGAAACTGTCTTCCTCTCTCAGGCAGCCCACTGCACACACACTGGTGACTGGGGCTCCCCCCACGGTGCTGAGGCAGCAGGCTCCCCTCTAGGGAGGCTCCTGCCCTCTCTCCCCACCAGTCTGCTCACTTTGCCTGGGTCTCAGTGTGTACAGGTGTGGGGTGGCCAGGGACCTGTGGCAGGGGACAGGGTCCCACTGTGCGTGCTGTGGGCCACCAGAACGAGGATGCCTGCAGGAATGCCTCGAAGCCGCCTGTGCCGCACTGGTCCCGGGCAGAAGCACTCCACGCACCACTCACGGACCATGTGTCCTGGTGTAGAGCGTGCTCAGCAAAGAACAGTGGAACTGCAGCAGCGTCACATTGTCCTCTCGTCGACAGCTTTCTTCCTGAAACTTTAATTACTGAGTACTTTTCCATTCTAGTTAGTGGCCTGTCATTTAAAAATTTCTGAGACGATTCCATTTTTACATCCCATCTATTTATAACCCACCATTATCCGAGCATTCAAACCAGACTTCAGTTCCAGCCATGATCAGCAACTCATACTCAGTGGACAGTCGTCGTTGGCTACAGTTCCTGAAACCCAGTTCTTCTCCACAGTGCGGCTCAGGACTCTGAGAAACAGATAACAACACCCTTGGTCTCTGCACGTCCACATCAGATAATCCATCAAATGTCCACCTGGCCCATCAAGGGTGCCGATGATACACAGCTCCGAGAATTTGATTTTCACCACCACGCTCAGGAATTCCTTCCTGATAACACCCACCTACCAGGCTTCACCTTTATCTCACACTTCACATCTTGTTGAATATTATCCTCAGCCCTCAGAGACCTAGATCTAGGTCTACATTCTGAAACTCTGAAGAGATTTGAGACAGTGTCAGACAGCTTCCCACGGCCCTGGAAAAGCCCAGGGTGTCTGGCGGCCCAGTGCCGAGTACAAGTGTCCGGTCCATCTCTGAAGTGAAGGCTCATTTGCCCAGTGTCTTTGTTGAGGATCAGGTGTCCTTAGAGCGTTTGCTGGAGTGTCACTCCCACTGGGGACCCCTTCTGTCCTTCCATCAGAGCATGTGACATTCTCAAATGATAGTTAGTGTAGCGTGCTGTTCCCATGGTTGTCTTATAGACGGTGCCATCACCACATAATTAAATTCCAGAACAGGATATCACCTGTTAGAATTGAAATATAGCCCCATATATATTCAGCTAGAGTCATAAAGCTTAAATGTCACTGACTTCATAATTTAACATTGTCAGTTTAATTTTCAGACTTATTAAACCAGAAATGGAGAGTTAAATCATATAAAGTAGAACAGGTTGTAATACTCGTTGGTATTTTCCAGGCAGTCACCCAGGCAGACGTGCACGATAAGTAGCTTGTCTCTTTCCTACACCGAAATCCTCCTTGCAGACCTGGCGCCGCCCCGCTTCCTGCTAACCTTCACCCCGATGGATGATACACCTGAGCAGCTTTGCTGTCACTTGGCCAAAGTCAGAGACATGCCAACCCTTTCCAAATGAACGAGAAGCAGAAAAGTGGGGAATTCATCATTTGCAAACATGTTTAATTCCGTTCCCTCACTTTAGCCAGGACCATCTTCAGAGTTTCCGTTGGCATTCTTTGCTCTGATCTCAGTGTCCTCCCAAGCTGTCTGCTGCTCCTTGCAGCATATCAGCCTCTCTGTGCTTTGGGTGTAAGACGTATTGGCCTGCTCAGCTTCTTCAGGCCTCAGAATTAGCAACAACAGGGCTGCCATAACGAGCCCAGCACGTTTCATAGAGCGCGTGTGTTTTGTGTCCTGCCCATCTTCCTTACTCGCCAGCCTGATGGTGGTGCCCTTGAGGACAGAGTGATGCCTGGCTGTGGGACCAGTGTAGCCACCTTTGCTGCCCTGGTTTGCATTCATCAGAAAGCAGGCTCCACCAGCTCTAGTGTCTGGAGGTGAGACCTCTGAGTGCCTTCAGCCTGGCCTGTGGCTACGAAGCCCTGCCTGTAGCCCCTGCTGTCTGCGAGCACCTTTCCGAGGTTCATGTGTACTTTCCACCCAGTGCTTGGTGAAATTTCCCAGGGGGCAGTGTTATAAACCCAGTAGAACTGCTCAGGATATTAAAATCTCCTGGATATGGACTTGATTTTGACATTTCTGTCTCGGGACCTGGAAGTTGTCACTATAGCTGTTAAATGCAGGTGTATTTAGGGTGATGTAGATGGGCCATCATTTCACATTTCTCTAAATCGCTTTGTGTCTTAGGTATTGGCTAAGCTTCCTAGGCTTGTACTGTTACTTATTTTTATTTTGTTTTAATCCATTTTCCTGAAGTAATCTTTGGAAACATCAGAAGTTACTCTCCATCGACCTGGACAAAGTGGTATTACCCAACTTTCGATCGAATCGCCCCCAAGTGAGGCCCTTGTCTCCTGGAGAAAGTGGTGCCTGGGACATTCCTGGAGGTCAGTTCTTAGGTGCTTTATTATTGTGCTAAGTGATACAGTAGTTTATTCAGAGTCGTCTCCCTCCTCCCCCAGGCAGTGGGACAGGTGGTTCATGTCTTTGCCTCCCTGAGAGCCTTGGTGGTCCAGGCTTTCCTTGGGGCACGAATCAGCAAGGCCATAAGCAGGCCTAAGAGATTAACACACCATCATCCCTCAGAAAATTCTACTGTGATTTTCAAATTTGAATTTCTTTTATGATGGCCTGTTATTACACTTGAAATTTTCCAACAGAGTAACTTGCACATTCTTATTTAAGTTCTCCAAACAAACGAGTATTATATACCCCAGGGGATGCCTGTCACCAGCTGGTGTGGGGCCCAGCCCTGGCTGTAGCCTGAACCCTCAGCCCAGAGGTCTCCACCAGCTCTCTGCCCTACCCTACCTGGGTGGGACTTCACTGGGCTGGTACCTCAGTTAAATTCAGGTGATTTTATTCTGTCCCCTCACCCCAAGTGACATCAAATGTACCCTCTACAGATAAGGGCTTTCGGCCCGACCGACCTGTCTGGGCCAGGTTCTCCCTTACCTGGGACCACTGCTACCCAGTCACTCCAGCAGCGTGTGGGCAGCTCTCGCTCTGGGAACCCCTGTGCTCTTCCAAGAGTTTACAGCCCCTCAGGGGGTTTATCCTGATTCCAGGAATTGGCCAGAAACTCGGGATCAGAAGAGGGTACTCCACCCCATGCAGCCCAACCCTGGGAACTTTGTGGTGACGTCCAGCTCCTGAGGGCCTAGCCTGCGGGTCATGGGGTGCACCGAAGACGGTTAATTCTGGAATCCCAGCAGTACTGTTACAGAGTCGCTCTGACTCTGGCTCCAGGGCTCTCCAGTGGCCACTCTGTGGCAGGCTTTCCCAGGAGGGTGGGGGCATGGCCAGCTGTCCTTAACCCCCCTGCCTGGCCTCTCTCTCTTCCTCCCGCTTAGCTAGTACAACACCAGCATGTCCTCTCCTCCTGGGCATCCAGACTCATCCATCTTCCATTGTTTTTAAACAAAAAGCAGCTCTGGGCAGCCCTGTTGTAGACTGTGTGTGACAGTCCTGGTCTCTGTCTGAGGTGAGCAGCAAAGACCTCCCGGCACGCCCTCCCCACCCCCGCAACACACACACAAGCTGCTAATCTGAGGCTGCAGCTGTAGGTCGCGCTCATTCATTCTCTACTAATGGCCTGGGTTACTTCAGCTACGGTTTAAAAATTACGTTTGCTCTGCAAGCCCAGCTAATGACGTTACCTAGCCTTTCGTTCCCACCGAGCCTGCCTCTCGTGGGAGAAGAGGCTGTGGCGTTGCTGACCGCTGACCACCCGTCTTGCAGGGATCATGCCTGGCCGCTACAACCAGGAGGTGGGCCAGACCATCCCCGTCTTCGCCTTCTTGGGAGCCATGGTGGTCCTGGCCTTCTTTGTGGTACAAATCAACAAGGCCAAAAGCAGGCCAAAGCGCAGGAAGCCCAGGGTGAAGCGCCCACAGCTCATGCAGCAGGTTCACCCACCAAAGACCCCGTCTGTGTGACACCAGCCCACTGATCTGAGAGCCAGAGAGAGCCTGTGGCTGGTGGCCTAGGTGGGCAGGCGGAGCTGTGGCGTCTCCAGAGGGGCCCCCGCTCAGAGGGCCGGGGTCTCCATCTTCAGGGGCCCGAGAGGCCGTGCTCAGGGGGCCTCTCCTGTGATGCACGGAGGTGCGCGTACATCCTGAAGTGTGTCGACAGGCCTGCCAGAGGGGCTCCGCGCATCAGCCTCCGGAGGGACTTCATGCAGCCGCAGCGTGCACCCAAGACCTGGAGAACTAGGCTGTCTGCGGCGCCCTGACCTGAGAGGGAGGATGTGCTTTTAATGACACGACTGACCAAGCTAAGATGTGCTCATTAAGGCTATTTTCTATATTTATTGTTGGGAAAAAGTCACTTTAAAAGCTTGTGCTATTTGGAAGCAAAGCTATTTTTTTTGTCAATGGAATGCAGTTTTTTACTATTCCATCACGAGGAATAACACAGATTCCATGATCTCCTTTTTGATGAAAGGACAGACTGAGATTTGAAGGCAGATTGCAAAGATCTGTGAAACATAGACCTTCGCTTTATTTTTATAAGTCTCAACTGCCATCATGTTTTGTAATTTGGGGTCTCGATTTCACCATTGTCGGTGAAGAAAATTTTCAATAAATATGCATTACCTATATGAAGCTAAAAAGAGCTGTGTCAAGTGGCCCTTTTTCCTCCTGTCCCATTTCTTTTTGATGACAACCTGGAATGCGTTGTGAATCAGCCTGTTTATTTTTGTTGAGATGTAATTCACATACTATAAAAACCTCCATGTTAAAGTGTACAATTCAGTGTTTTTTTAGTATATTCATAGGTTGTGCAACCATCATCCTTAGAAATCCAGAACATTTTTGTCATCCCCAAAAGAAATCCTGTACCTGTTAGCAAGTCATTCTCTGTCCTCTTCCCCGAAAACCCATGGCAGCCACTAATTTGCTGTCTCCATGGATTTACCTATTCTGAACATTTCGAAATATAAATGGAACCATAAAATATATGGCCTTTTGTGACTGGCTCCTTGCACTCAGCTTGTTTTCAAGACTCCACCCATGTTGCAGCAGGTCAGTACTTCATTCCTTTTTTATGGCGGATAATACTCCGTTGAATGGACAGACCTCGTTTTGTTTATCCATTTTTCAGTTGATGGACATTTGAGTTTCCAGTTTTCGGCTATTGTGAATAATGCTGCTCTGAGCATTTATGTACAAGTTTTTGTGTGGCCGTAAGACACCCAGGAGTAAAATCGTACAGCTCTGTGTCTTAACTGGTTGAGGAGCTGCCAGACTTTTGCTTCCAAAGTGGTTACCCCATTTCACGTTCCCACCAGCTGTGTTTGAGGGTTCTGGCTTCTCCACATCCTCACCAATGCTTGTTACTGTCCTTTTTTTTTCATTTTGGCCATCCTAGTGGGTGTAAAGTGCAGTGTGGCTTTGGTTCACATTTCCCTAAAGGCTAATGTCATTGAGCATCTTTTCATGTGCGTCTTGGCCATGTGTGCGTCATCTTTGGAGAAATGCCTATTCGGAGCCTTTGCCCATTATTTAATTGGGTTGTCTTTCATTATTGACTTGTAAGAGTTCTTTATATTTTCTAGATACAAGTCCTTTATCAGATACATGACTTGCAAATACAGAGGGTGCCCAAAAATACGTATACACATTTTAAGAAAGGAAAAACTGTATTAAAATTGTAATACTCAATATGTACCGATAACAAAAGATGAATACAAGTCATGTGTATACATTTTTTTTTTGGTTCCCCTCCCCCCCCGCTATTTTCTCTTATTCTGTTGTCTTTTTCACCTTTCCTGGTGGCATCCTTTGAAGCATAAAATGTTTTCATTTTGATGAAGTCCACTTTACCAAAATGGATTTGGTAAAGTCCATTTACCAAGGTGTCATTTCGAAGTAACCAATCCAAGGCAGCCTGTTAATTTTTAACCCCTGCCTGACCAGTCTTTTCTCTCTGCTGTCCAAATATCAGCCTTCAAACCACAGGTGAGGACGGACTGAGTGGAAAGGAGGCAGGCAGAGGCCACGTGGGATCCGGGTGCTGATGAGGTTCTGGAAAGAAAAAGGCCCAGAACAAGGAACAAGGGAGGAGACACGAAGGCCCAACTGTCCTGTGACGGGTTTTCCTTGGCCGATCATGTCGGTGACCTTGTACTTTTAAATGCACCCCGTGGCTGCTGTTGCTTTGAGGCTCTGGAGAAATGGCTGAGGGTCCCACAAAGCAGCCCTGAGAACACAGGCATTGAGGCTCCCAGTAGCGTGTTGTCCTCAGAGATGGGTCATGGATCTGAGTATAGCACTGACGTATCAGAACGAGGCGCCTTGTGCCCTGGTTGTGACAGAGCCTCCTTGTCCCCCTGCCTCCCCTCCATGTTGTGGGCAGCTTACCATCTGCCCCTCAGTACTGTGAAGGCCAGAGTCACGGCCCACGCTTGTCCCACCGGAGAATGAGGACATGGCCCCTGTGTTAGGCAGCGGGGTCTTGGGGCTGGGACAGGCGACAGCGCCTCCCGATGTTACCAGAGAAGCCTGAAATCTAGAGTATGTGAAATCTCCCAGGTTTAATGTTGGCAAATGACTGAACTAGAGAAAGTTTCATGTAAACTAGACAAAGCTCCACCTCCGTGGTGGTCGTCTAGATGCTGTAGGCTGGTAATTGTGGAGTGAAGTTCTAGACCCCATGCTGTGAGCTGGGCGTTGAGTCCCCATGCTGACTGTAGCCTCAGGTTTGCTTGTCTCCCTGGGGACTTGGATACCTCACCCCTGAAAGATGGAGCTTAGACCTGGATTGTCCCCTGTTGCTACCTGAGGTCTGCGTCTACACGTGTCACTTGCCTTCGGGACCCACTCCCCTGCCCCCATCTCACCCCTGTGCCAGGGCTGCTTGCCGCCCTGTGTGCTCTGTCCGTTTAGATGGGGTGGCCTTGCCAGCCCAGGACCAAGCACACTCAGTGGCAGCCTTAGGGTGCTCATTTGGATTTGGGCATTTGAAGGGTCACGTAGTTGAGACAGGAGAGGACAGAGAGGGACAAGCATGGACACCGAGACATTGAGGCTAAGTCAAAACAGAAGAGAGTTGTTAAGGGACCGAGATTTTTAGGGACCTATGGCTACTGCAGCTCCAAGCAGGGGAGCTGCATGAGGGATAATCTAACAAGGTGAAGTGCAATAGCAACTCTTAAAGCCTGTGGTGGTCTGTGACTAAAGGGCAGCTTTCTGCAGTGCTGAAGTCCTGGGGCATGGACGGGGGTGCCCGGGACCCGGCAGCTGTGTGATGTGCCTGCCAAAGGGGCTGCGTTCATAGAGCTGTAACATAGAAAAGGAGGGTGATCCCTTCCTGCCTGCAGCCAGAAGGGTGCCTTTAGGAACTGGGTGCCAGACCCACTGTGCTCAGTATAACACGGGCGTTACTTCCATCTGTGCACGGACACTGGAGGGGAGGCATAGAGGAAATGGGGCCAGCGCAGAGATGGGCTCAGAACCTGCCAGAATCACACAACTAGCAGTGCAGGCGGAGTGCCAGGAAGCCTGCGCGCCTAACCTCTGTCCTTCCTGCGGGCGTCCGCAGCTGTCCCACATCGGCCTCACTTCAGGTACAGCGACACACGAGGGAGGATGACTGGACAAGGGGACCTTGGGACAGAGTAATGGGAGGAATGCGGGACGAAGGGGCGGCTGAGATTGAGCCGGAGAGAGAGGTCTCGGATGGGGAAAGCTCCCACAGAAAGGGGAGTAAATCTCTGGGAAGACCCAATTGATGGGGTCCGGCATGCAGTGCACTGTCCCAGGAGAGGCCTTGTCAGGTGGTTGCCGTGGGATACCCAGGCCCCCCTGGGAGGAATGTTCTAGAGAGGATGTCGGCATCCAGGACACAGGTGTGGAACTACGGCCTGGGCCCTGGCCTCAGACTGCCTGGGGTCCCCTTCCAGCCCGGCCAGTTCCTGCTCATGGGGCGTCACTGAGCAAGGCATGGAGCCATGTGCCATCACACAGCCACGTGCCTGACACAGAGCCAGGGCCCCGTTACGTCAGCCGTTGTCAGTGGTAGATCACAGTGACAGATGTGCCTGAAGGCTGTGGGCCCAGGTCAGGCGTGGACTCTCATTGTCCTAGTGAACAGCTACATCTTTTTTAAGAACCAAAAAAACAGGCAACCAACCCACCACAACCGCAGATGGACATGGGGGGTCCATGGGGGGCACTGGGGGACCAGGAGGGGCCAGATACGGAGGCCAAGACCCAGGACTCATCCCTAACCCTGCTCTCCCCTGAGAGTCAGGCGGGGCTCTAACTACAGGTGCTGCGTGGAGATGAGCCAGATATGGGGACAGCTGGGTACCCCCAACCCACCTTGTGTTACATGCGGTCTGAGGTCTTCCCAGCACGTGCACTTGTCCATCTTGTGCTCCTACAGGAGCAGGCCCCATGCCCGATGACCTTTAGGAAGCAGGAACGGATCCTACAGTTGGTGAACCTGCCCCAGCAGCCACCGCACTGAGCCTGCTGAGTGCTCACCTGTGGAGTGGACGAGTCTGGAAACATCGTGGTAAGTCAGAGAAGCCAGACACTAAAGACACAGAGTGTATGAGTCCATGTATGTGAGAACAGGCACATCCACAGACAGCAGGTTCGTGGTCGCATAGGGCTGGGGGAGGGGGAGATGAGGACTGATGGCTCATGGGTACAGGGGTTTCCTTTGGGAACGATGAAAATGTACTAGATAGAGGTGAGGGTTGCACAACACTGAACAGACTTGATGCCACTGAACTGTCCACTTTAAAATGTTTAAAATGGCAAAGTTTATGTTCTGTGAATTTTACCACCCAATCTCCCCAGGGGATTACCACTCCCTCTCCCCAGGTGGCTTGGAGAGTGGAAGAGGTTCAGGGGTCAGGACCCAGGTGATGAAGCCCCTGCAGGGACTCCGTGCCCCTGAGCTGGCCCTGCTCAGCCTCTGAAACCTCCAGCTGCTGAAACCTCCATGGAGTGTCCTCCTTAGGATGCAGGGGGCAGGAGGGAGGTCAGCGTTGACTGTTGGAAGACGCTTCCTGTCCCTTGAAGATGCCATTCCCTCTTTCTTCACCCAGAGTGGGGCTCCAGCCTCTCATTAGCAGGAGGGGACAGCAGAACTTGGCAAGGCCCGTGCCCTTGGGCCAAGTCTCACCTGGAGGCCCCAGCATGGGGAGTGGGGTGCCCGTGGGCCCCCCGTGATCAGAACTCAGGGTGCTGGTGTATCGGTTTCCTGTTGCTGCTGAGACTGGTTATCGCAAATTTGTGGCTTCAAACAACACATTTATTCTCCTACAGTTCCAGAGGTTGTAAGTCCAAAATCAGTCTCACAGGGCAAACATCAGGTGTCAGCGGGGCTGGTTCCCTCTGGAGCAGCGGTTCTCAACCTGTGGGTCGCGACCCCTTTGGGGGATCGATCGACCCTTTCACAGGGGTTACCTAAGACCATCGGAAAACAAAAAGATATTTACATTACGATTCATAACAGTAGCAAAATTACAGTTGCAGAGAAGCAACAAAAATAATTTTATGGTTGGGGGTCACCACAACATGAGGAACTGTATTAAGGGGTCGCGGCATCGGGAAGGTTGAGAACCGCTGCTCTAGTGGCTCCAGGGGAGATCCGTTGTCCTGCCTTTTCCAGCTTCCAGAGTTTCCTGAATTCCTTGGCCCATGGCCCCTTCCTCCATCTTCAGTGTCCATCGCTCCCACCTCTGCTTCTGTCATCCCATCACCTTCTCCTCTCTGGTCTCTGACCCCTCCTGTGTCCCTGTGTTCAGGATACTAGGATCATATTTAGGGCCACCCGTATCATCCAGGATACTCCAGGATACATCTCATGATCCTTACCTTACTCTCTCATCTGCAAAGTCCCTTTTGCCATGCCAGGTGACTTAGTCACAGGTTCTGGGGTTAGAATGGGGACATCTTTAGGGGCCATCATGCAGCTCACCATGCTGGGTTTCTCTGCCCCTGAGCTGTCATAGGTTTCCTGCAGGAGGACTTAGGTCCCTGGTTAACTGCCACAGGTGGAGCTGCCTTAAAAAGTCCCCAGTTCCTGTCATCTGAAGACCTTGAGACTTTGCCCTGTCAGAGTCTGGCTCACCCCACCCAGCGTTTCCTAAGCTGCCTTCTGTGGGCCAGCCCCTGGGCAGAAAGCTGCAGAGAAAAGGGGGGGCCAAGGGCTCAGGGACACGGGTCGGACAGGGTCCTTACCTGCTCAGAACTGCTGTTTTCTACTTCACGGGCACCTTAGAACCTCCTGGGGAGCTTTACAGAAACCCCAAAGCCTGGCTGCCCCAGATGAACTCCATCTGCGGCCCTGAGGGTGGGTCTGGCATTGGCAGTTTGAAGAGCCCCTTCCTCGGGTGTTCTTGTGTGGCCAAGGTTCGGAAGACTGTTCTAGAAGCTCAGCATCAGGCAGAGGGAAAAAAACACATAAATGCCAGTCATGGAGTTTGATGTGTACTTGTTTCAACACAGCTAACACGCACTGCTCACTTCTGTGAGCACATTCTCACAGAACCCTCTAACAGCCCTGCAGAATAGGAATGTTATCACCCCATTTCTCAGGTGCCCCTGCGAGGCCCAGACTAAAGCCCGTGAGTGACTAGGTTGTCGTTCAGTCCCAGGCACTGGCTCCTGAAACCTGTCCTGTCTGTCTTCCAGAACTTTCTATCTCACTTCCAGGAAAACAAACCAAGGTCACTTTCTCCTGGAAGTTCCTCACCTGTCATGTGACCCATACTTTGTGGAGAAGTAAAGGAGGGACCTCAGGAACAACCCTTTGATGGTTGCTCACTTGCTGGGAGAAGGGAGACGGCTCCCAAGTGCAGGCGCTGGGCTAAGCCACCGCTTGCCTTGTCGTCCTCAGGATCACTGATGTGCCACCTCACTGCCTTCCGGTTGGCCAGAGCGCCTGCCCGCCGCCCACACAGATGGGGCCCCACAGGATGCCTCTCTGCTGCTAGGAAAGGTCACCCAGCCCTGGGATGCCTGCAGAGAGAGCATATCAAAGCCCCTCAGAATTAAGAGGTTTTCCCATTGAGTGGACTTTCACAGCCCAGTGACCAATTTCTAAGTCATGCACACTAATGGGCAGCTAATGAGGGACCCAGGCAGGGACAAGAAGGTGCTGGGAGCTGAGATTAAGGAGAACAAAGCCACAGCCCGCTGCTCTTTCTCTTGGCCTCAAGGGCGGCTTGGGGGAAGAAAGTAGATGGTTGGGCTGCACGGGAAGGCCTGAGAGCCTACATCTGCCAGCGGCTGCACTGCACGCCCCCGTATGCCACAGCTCCTCCCCACCGTGCCCCATGCCAGCCTCAGACCCTGGTGCAGCAAGAAAGGCCTTCTCCAGGTGCCCCAACCTGGGCCTCCACCCAGGAGACCCCAACCCCAGAACACCTAGGCCTTCCTGGGAGCATTGGCTCGTCGCCTTGCCTGAGCCTTCACACAGGGACTCCCCATTGCCCTGAATGTCTCCCCTCCCCCCACCTTTCATCAGAGGTGCACAGACTTCTCAGTTCCTGCACCTCCTCCGGGAAGCTCCTCCAGGTTTCCCTCCCTCCCGGAATCTCATGGTCCACTCCCTCTCTCATTGGACCGTGTAGTTGTCTAGTCTGATCTCCCCATGGTCTGTCCCCTCCTCCAAAACAGAGACTTCCCTTCCACCTCTGAATCCGCAGGGCCTGGCATGCAGTAGGTACTCACTCAACTCGTGTTTGTCAAATGACTACCTGACTATGACTGAGAATACAGTCAGACCCCAGATACATAAGGTGTCGTGTACGGTGACCCCCTAAAAGATATGTCTGTGCCCCAGAGCCGGTAAGTGTGACCTCATTTAGAAAAAGAGCCTTTGCCAAGTATGTAATTAATTAATCCTTAATTAAATTAAGGATCTCGAGATGAGATCAGCCTGGAATATCTGAGGGCCCCTAACACCAATGACCAGTGTCCTTATAAGAGAAGGAGAGGACCCAGACACAGGGAGGAGGCCATATGATGACAGAGGCAGAGATTTGAGCGATGCGGCCAGAAGCCAGGGATTACCTGGAGCCCCCAGGAGCTGGGAGAGGCAGGAAGGATCCTCCCCTAGAGTCTTTGGAGGGAGCGCCGCCCTGCCCACACCTTGGTTCAGACTCTGGCCTCCAGAACTGTGAGCAGATAAATGTCTGTTGTGTTGAGCCCCTCAGCTTGTGGCAATTTGTGACAGTAGATTCAGGAGATTAACACATGGGGGGAACTTTTCTTTTTTCTGTATTTTCTGGAGTCTGTGTATTTATCCCACCATCTATTCATTCATTCAGTCAGTCAGTCACTGATTCATTCAGCACTTCCCGTCCAGGGTACCATTAGAGTCATGAGGGGTGGGGAGGGCTGTGGGAGACAGCATGGCATCACAGGCTTTGAGATGACACACACTTGGGGCTGAATCCCAGTCCTGTCACTTGCCAGTGGTGACGTTATGAGCCACTGGCTTCACCCGTCTGAGCTCAGTTCCTGCTCTGTGCAGTGTGACAATGGCGACACGGAACCCCTCGGGATTCAGTGTGAGGACATCTAGCACTTGCTGTGAGTGCAGGTTCACAGTGAGCCCTGCTCCCGTGTTGGCAGCGTCCATGCTGCCAGAGGTGTGGTCCAGCTCTAAACTCCTGGCCAGCCCTGCTCTCTTCTCCCCAGTGCATGCTGGGAGGCTGGCCACACAGCAGATCCAACAGTTTATTGACCACCCGCTGAGCGGAGCCTGCCAAGGTACAAACAGAGTCTGTGGCAAAAACGTGACACAGTCAGGGGGTTAAAACCGTTAGAAACCACATGGAGAAAACAGTGTGGGACCGATATGATGTCCCACAGATAAGGGCTGATTGGGTGAGGTGCTGGGCACTCAAGATGGTTAACAAAGCAGCAGTTTTCCAAGTGAGATCCCCGGCCCCAGTAACAGCACCTAGAAGCAAGTTAGAAGAGCAGGTTCTCAGGCCCTGCCCCAGACCCACTGAATCAGAAACACAGGTTGAGGCTCTCCAGGGACTTTGCACCTGGGTGCCAGGGACAAACAGGGTCCCATGTGAATTCAAGCTCTGACCTCCATGGGCCTAGGTTCTCTGGAACGGGACCATTTTGGATGCTCTGCCATCTTAACAGACAATGTGCAGGGTCACAGAGGTGACCTCTACTCTAAGTGTAGGATAAGCAGCGCCGGCCTCCCGGAGCTTATTGAGAAATGTGGAATCTCAGCTCCTAGGCAAGGTGGAATGAATCAGAAACTGCGTTTTCACAAGACGCGCAGGTGATGCTTATGCACATTCTTTCGATTGGGGAGCGTCTCCATGAAGGACCCGCTGCCTGCCTGGGCCTTCCATCCCTGTCTGCAGCTTCCCACATCCACCTGTGAGGTGGGCATACAGACCCCCTCTTGGGATGGGAAACTAGGCTGGCAGAGATCACATACTGCTAGCAGGTGACAGACACTGAGCTCCAAGCTCTTTCCATGCCCCATCCCTCAGACCGGGGGCCTGAGAGAGACATCAGGAGGAGGCGGCGTGGGGGAAACTGACCCAGGTGCCTGCATGAGGTCAGGTGTGCCCCCTTAATCTCTCCCAGGGACGCTCCCTCTTAACCCTCAGGCAGTAGGGGAAGCCCCGCCCCCAGGGAGGGGTCTGGGCTGGGGGAGGGGAGGGAGTCTTTAAGACTTTTAAGACTCCGTTTCTCAGGACTGAAGTCTCAGAAGCGGCTAGTTCTTGGGACAGATGGCCCTGATCTCCTGAGCCTGTCCCTCCAGGTTTGGGGATGTGACCCCAACACCTGCTCTCTAGGGCTCCCTTAATTCATGACTATTCATTACCCACCCCAGCAGAGCTAGTATCTTCCTTCTTCCACCCCTCCCGGCCCAAGAAATGCAACTGAACCACCTGGAGCAAGTCTGAGTCCCTGTCTGTGGTGGCCAAGGACTGGCTCCTGCCTTGAAGCTTGCATTTGGCGGTAAGGCCTACAGGCTGGAGCCCTGTCAGCGCAGAAGTCTGGCTGGGGGCAGAGGGGTGAGGGGAGCAGGGGGTGAGGGCGGTGAAGGGCAGGAAGGAGATGGAGGTTTGGAAGAGAAGCGGGAGGAGGTAGGGGTCGGGGTTGAGTGGAAGAGCAGGAGTGACAATAAACACGGTTAGAAAGCTAGAGGGGAAGGGGAGGGGATGGCATTTCTTGTGTTGGAAAGTGGTGAGGACCATAAGTTAGGGGCCAATGAGCGCGTAATGTAAAATGGGGAGCAGAGAGGCACAGGAAGAGGGAGATGGTGGCCTGGGATCGCTGAGACACATGAGGTGGCGGTGGCTGAACTGGGAAGACAGACCTGTCATGGGTTGAGAATGATACCACGAACTGGGGAGAAACTGCTAAGAGTGTCCCCTCTCTCTGCCCCCCAGTTGCTTCTAACCATGGAGGGACAGACCCCCGGAAGCAGAGGCCTTTTGGAAAAGCCCGCAGCCGCCAGCCCCAGTCTGTCCTCACTGGGCGCTGTCTTCATTCTCCTGAAATCCGCGTTGGGGGCTGGCCTGCTCAACTTCCCCTGGGCTTTCTACCAGGCAGGTGGGGTGGGCCCGGCCTTCCTGGTGGAGCTGGTAAGCCCCTAGGATGTAATTGGGGGGGGGGCGGTCTCCTGGGGCAGGATCCTTCTCTGCAGTGCTTCCGCAGAGCTGCCTGTCTTAGAAACCACACCTGTGGGGGTTGATTTTCTGCCCTGCTCAGCTCATGAGGGGAGAAGTCAGCCTACTCCAGGCCAAGCTGGGGCAGAGAACATTTTCTACCTGCTGAGGTCTGCCGCCAGCCAGTGGGGGTGGGGAGGTGTGGGCGAGACACCTGGATCCAATGATCCTGGCATTTCAGCTGGGAGGGCCCTGAGAAGATGCAGTTTCTGAGCAAACACCTGGTCCATTGACTTCTCTTGCCTGCTGGTCTCAGCTCCATTAGCCAAAGCTTCAGTCCCTGTGCAGATCAGATCAGGACTAAGGCTGTCTTTGACACCCACGCACTGAGCTGGGCCAGGCCCTCAGTGTCAGAGGCCTTCAGCCACTTCTGGCTACGTTCAAGCCTGAATTCCCTTCCCAGAAGGTCCACGTGCTGAGTGTCTTTAGTGGAGAAGAGCTGCCGATTAGCAAAGCCTCATTTTATTTTGCAAAGATTCTTTTCCCTGGCTGATAGAAGCCACTGTGTCTTGTGGCAAGGCCTGTCAAAGAGCTTATCTCAGATGATTTTTTTTATGACAGCCAGCTGCTAACAGGCACATTGTAACTGTTTGTGGGCCACGGGGCCTTTCGTGTCCTTCTGGAAACTGTGGAATCCTGGGCTGTGCAGTGTCTGGCGTAACCTGAGCCGTAGTCAGCATTGGTCGAGCACCTGCTTTGGTGTTGGATGACTGATGGTGTGGGCTCAGTCCTCATGAAACTTGTTCTAATGGGGAAGTCGGACAAGATAGAAGTCAAATAAGATAGTTTTAGCTGGTGGGTGTGACATCATGTGAGTGGTCAGAGAAGGCCTCTTTGAGGAGGTGACATTGAGCTGAGCCCCAGCAGAAATAAAACAACTTGTCCAGGTGCCTGTGAGGGGCAACATAGCTGTGTTTGGATGGATGCAGCAGAAAGGCCGCCCTTCCAGAACCATGAGGAAGAATCCTTGTCCCCAGCCACCAAGGGTTAATGATAAAGCAGGTGGGGCCGCAGGGGAGGGGGTGTGGTCAGGTACAGAAGTGGCCAATCCTATGGTGGCAGGCTGGACTGTGGGTCCCCACTCCTTACACTTGCAGCATCTCCCAGGCACCTTGCTGAAGTGCAGATGCTGACTCAGCAGAGCTGGGTGGGCCTGAGACTGCATTTCTGACGCGCTCTCAGGGGGCACAGCTGCAGCTGGTGTGGCTTACACACTGTGCAGGATGGTTTAAAGATCCCTGCCTTGAGCAGACTGACGGAGACAGGACCCAGACATGAAGAGATGGAAATTCTGGACAAGAGAAGGAATTGGGCTGGTAATGGGCAGTCCCCCTTCCCCCACTCCAGGCTCTCCCCACCTCTTAGCCAGCGAGACTTCGGTCCCTGCACCCTTCACAAGGCCCCAGCTTGGGCAGGAGGAGGATTTAAACATCCCCACCACTGGGAGCTCAGTGGCGTGAGGTTGTAGGTCTCTAATGACCCCAGTTAGTATTGGAGGATTACTGAAATTGAATGCACCAGACCCTCTCTAGGAGCTGCAGAGAGGCGGGGCCTGGGCACAGGTTGGTAAGGGCTGTTTGCTGTTCTTCTGTGAAGAGGCTCAGGGTCCCTCTAGCCAATGAAGGCGTCACTGGCAGAGGCTCCTGACCACGCCTCTTCATGCACAAATATCTCTTCAGTACCTGCTATGTGCCAGGCACTTCTGTGGGCGCTAAATGGTAATCAATAAAAGGCACAACCCCGGTCTTCACAGAGCTTAGAGTCTGTGGGTGAGAGACGTTGGCGATCCCTGTGATACATGTACAGTTGTAAGTGTGAGTCCTTGGGCCACTAGAACAAAAGACCACAAACTGGGGGCCTCAAAACAACAGAAATGTACCCTCTCACAGTCCTAGACAACAGAAGGCCAAAATCAAAGTGTCAGCAGGGCCGTGGCCCCTCCAGAGGCTCTAGAAGAGGATCCGTCCTGCCTTGTCCCGCTTGGTGGCCCCAGGCATACTTTGGCTTAACCACCACACACTCTAACCTTTTGTTCCATCATCACATACCTTCTCCTCTCTGTCTTCTCTTCTGTCTCTTATAAGGTCATTTGTCATTGGCTTTCAGGCCCACCTAGCTGGTCCAGGCTGACCTTATCTCAAAATCCTTAATTATACCTGTAAAGACCCTTTTTTAATGTAATTACATCTTCATCATGTACTTCTGCAAAGACTGTGCCCAGTAAGTCACTTTCACAGCTGCTGGAGGTGAGGATGTGGATTTAACCTCCTGGGGGACCCCCATTCAGCCCACTGCAGGCACAAGTGTGCCCAAGAAGGTGTGATTCTATCAGAGCCTGAGATGGGTTTAGCTTGCCTTGGGGTGAGGGGTCAGGGAGGCTTTCTGGAGGAAGTAACCTTGGCGAGGAGGAAGCGTTCCCCAGGTGAAGGCAGGGAGGGCGCGGAACAAGCATGGGCAAAGGTCCGGTGGCCAGAGGGAGCATGAAGTCTCAAGTTCCTCTGACAGTTCATTCATTGGGTTGTTGGAAAAGTCGTGACGTATTTTTTCTGTTTTTCATTGCAAAAATGTGTCATGACTTTTTCGACAGCCCAACAGATGCTTCTCCTCAGCAGCTCTAGTTGTGGCTTCTGGACTAATACAGAACCAATCTGCTTGTTGGTGGCATGAACTGTGTCTACCGACCAGCCAGCCGCCCTGGCTTCCCCTAGGCTTCTTGGCTGAGCATCTCCCAGCTCATGCATTGTTCTCCTTCCCAGTAACGTGGGAGGGGTATTGGGGCCTGGAAACCAAGTGCAGCTTGGGGACAGGTAGCCGTCAGCCCTGCAGAGGATAAAAATCATTTAACTGTGCAGCAAGTGGGGCTCCCACGCATCGATGGGGCTGTCTAGTGGCACTGACGCTTTGGAAAGCAGTTTGGCAGCTTCTTAGAGAGTTAAACACATGTCTACCCTGTGACCCAGCAATCCGACTCCTGGATGTGTGTCCAAGAGGACGAAATGTACGGCCTCAAAATGACTTGTCCTAGAATGCCCAGCACTTTACTCACAGTAGCCAAAAACTGAGGACAATCCAGCTGTCTGTCAACAGGGGACTGAATGAAGCAGTTGTGACTATATCCATATAAGGGAGTGGTACTCAGCAAAAAAAAATAATAATAATACATGACTGAAGCACCCAGGATGGCTGGATCTCACAGATGTTACACTGAGTGGAAGAAACCAGATACGAAACATGTAAAAGTGGAAAGCTATTAGAGGTTTCTTCTGGGGACCCAATGGGGGCAGAAAGTGACCAGGAAGGAACAGGAGGGAATGTCACGGGTGTGGTAGTGTGCTCTGTATCTTGGCAGAGGTACATTTGTTGTGCCTCTTCTAGTGATAAGTTTTTATCCATGTAACCCACAACCCATGCAATTTTAGAAGAGTTGTTTAGACTCTGGATTTCTGATACCTCATCTGGTAAGAATGGTATGAATGACCCCAGAGTCACAGATGGACAGAAAGCGAGGGCTGGACAATCCCCTTGCTTTGCAGCTCTAGTTTCAGGGCAGGGGAGGGTCTCCCAGGCAGTAGGCAGCTGTGACCTCTGCCGGTGAGCCACCCAGTGGAGGGAGCCATATTGTAGTCCACGGGGTGGCTGGCTCGGGCTCCTGGCTGTGGGCGCACCCTGGCCCACGGTCCTGCTCTGCAGGTCTCCTTGGTCTTCCTGATCAGTGGGCTGGTCATCCTGGGCTATGCTGCCTCCGTCAGCGGCCAGGACACCTACCAGGGTGTGGTCGGAGGGCTGTGTGGCCCCGCCATCGGGATGCTGTGCGAGGCTTGCTTCATCGTCAACCTGCTTATGATCTCTGTGGCCTTCCTCAGGGTGATTGGGGACCAGCTGGAGAAATGTAAGTACCTGCGCTGGAGTGGGGGGTGACTGCAGGGTTGGAGCCCATTATGCTACCTGGGGCTACTGGTTGGTGAGCAGGACATGGATACCGGGCTGGGCCTTGGGACAGCAGAGACCAATACCACCCCTGAGCTCCCAACGTCATGGGGAAGGGAGACTTGGAATTAGTACTTACCAGCAGCGCAAGAATTGTGGAGGGGGAAGGAGGCTATGGCTGGGAAGTCTAGTGGGGTCAACCTTTTTACAAATGGAAAAGTGGAACCAGTGACAGGAAAGCCCCTATGAGAGATAACATCTTGAATTTTGGGATGTTGAAGACTGTCAGCCCCACTAACTTCAAGCACCTTGGACTCTCGTCTCCTGCTAACAATTTCTCTATAAGTACTGCTTTGGCTGCATCCCACCAATTTTGATACGTTCTAGTTTCATTTTTGTTACACTCAAAACATTTGCTAATTTTTGCTATGATTTCTTCTTTGACTCACAGGATGTTTTTAGCATTGTGTGGTTCGATTTCTAATTATTTGGGCATTTTCTAGATCCCTTTTTGTTTTTTT